ATTTCTCTCCAATGAAAAACTAATTATACAAATTTATACAACAAAGTTTAAAAATAAGTCGGATTAGTAATAATTTTAGATTATATTATTTTCCAATTTATTATAGCTCCCGTGTTGAATTTAATCTAATGACACTTTAATTTATTTGTTCGCTCTTAATTAATGTTTCTAAAATATTGAGTTATTGTAATGGGTTATTTTTGAAATCATACGAACTTTTCTTGTCACCGCGGAAAAATAAGTTTCCATAATATAAGCTGCGACTATTGTAGGTATTAGGTTATTAATAGAAATAAACTTAATTAACGTATGCAAATATTATGCTTTAATTATTCTTTCGACATAATTGAAAAATACATTATTAATGCAATTAGTAACCTGTGATGGCAAGTTAATATTGCACTAAGTAAATAACGGTATAGCTGCATAATAGTCTCGAATAAATTGAATGTAATGCATCAATAATCGAACATACTTTGAATATACCACCAGATGTTAGCCCCATGTAACTTTCTGACGTTAATATATAATTTTGCTATTATTATTGCGAAATAATGATCGCGCTATTATTATAGCGAAATAGTGACTGGCATAGAACGAAACGATACTTCAAGTACTCGTTTCTCTTGCGAATTTTCGACATTTTCATATTGGCTATGTATCGCAGATGTCATTCCGAATGTCTAAGTTCTCACAAACTCACGTCTCGAGTACGATCGCGAAGATAGCGAACAACTGGTGACCGACGACCATGATCGCGCGCGAAATACCTCCGTCGTGACCATAAAACTCAACAACTCTACGTGTTCGTCTGGCAGCGTAAGAGGTGGCTGAAAAAAAAAACACCTGAAGTCGCGGATGGGTGAGTTGGCGAGTGGAAACGTAACTACGCACAAAAACACCCGCGCAGACACGTGGAACGATCTACAACGACGTGGTCGTTTCTTCGCGCACATGCCCGTGGGCGCCATCAGGATCAGAAACTCTGGTTTCTGAGCGTCCCTCGCTCAGAAACCTTCTAGGATCCACGCGCGTGTATTGCTACACGGCGAAGCACGTGTGCGTCAGCATTTGGCCACACACTGACGCGCGTGTCGTTCGGTGTCGGTGTGTACAGAATGTAATACGGTGGCTGGTACCGTCACATGGCTATTTAGAGGAGTTCCGGGACGGCTAAGGGAGGACGAGAGTCGAGAGGGGTGTGCCGAGAGCGAGGGTGCAACGATGCGGCTGGAAGAGGTAAGGACCGGGGTAGAGGACATAAGAGACCGGCACGAAGAGACGCCCGAGGCGATGCACCCTCTTTCGTATCCTTCCGCCGAGCTTCTCTCTTCTCGCTTTCTCGTCTCCTTTTTCCTATCTCCCCACCAACCCCGTATCCACCCCGTGTGATGCGTCTCTCGTACCGACCCCTACCGCTATCTCCCGCTTTCCTTTGTTCGCGCGGACGACGGTGATATTCTGCGGGAATCCGTAGATGTGGCTCGGTCGCATCCACGCGGTCCATCTCGGTTTGCGAAAGGTTGCCTGGCGAGTTTGCGAAAAGCTAGCGCCATTGACACCGGCGCGGTGTGCGCTCAGCACGCGGTATTGTTACACCGCGACGAGCTAATAAAGAAAAATAGAGGCTCCTGCGCGGATATTAGTTGTCCTCTGTGTTCGCGAGAAATCGTAGTACGACGAGAAAAGGACGAATCCCCCTGCCGATCTCCGATGGTGAGAAGGAAAAGAAAGGTAACGCCGTGACGGGGATTCTTTATTTACGTCACGCCCGTTTTCCCGATGTTAATACCGACTAAGTTACCTCGGGATTTCATTTGAGAATCCTGCGTCGCGATGAAGAGCGATTTTATCTGTCTACCCTTGATAATTATAAATGAGAACACTCGCCCCGCATTTGAGGTGAAGCTAGGAGTACAACGTTTAATCGTCCGACGTATGAAATATTACCGTTTAATTAATGATCTTAATATTACAACGAATAATCGATTATTCTTACTGACGCAAATTAGCTAACTACGAAGCTAATTGCTAATAGACTAAATAGAGAAAGGGGGAAATGAATTACTACAAATTAATATGAACTGCATTGAGAAGACCATTGCTCTTGATAACCTTGTAGAACAAGCATTTTCTGTAATAAGAAGTTACTAACGAAAAAACGCAAAAAACGTTAACTTCCTGAATATCAACTCGCCAAGGCGTGAAAGGCGATGAAAATAAAGGGTAGTAAGAGCGACACTATGATGAGCTTTTATTCGCTCCGTGAATTTTCAAGATTCTTACGGAGCTCGTGTACCTGCTTTCGTTTTTCATGATTGACTCTACAACGTGTCGCCATATTTTATCTACAGCTGAAAAGAAGAATGATCTAGTCAAGACGAAGGGTTCTTAATGAAAGCACTCTTTTCGGATGGACTTCTTTATCTAATACAGGATGGACCATGGAAACTTGATGATTTTCAGAATAAAATGAATAATATGAAATTATAGATGAAATACTACATACAGAAATCAATGCCTTAAACGGCTTAAACGGCTCTAACTGGATCTTAAATGCTTGTATGATTCTGTGTGAATTTAAATATAATTTAAATATTTATAATATTTTTAATATCTTATTATAACAACAAGAAATGTCATTTAAGTATATCTGATTGTGAGTATACTTGAATAATGATTGCATTCAGCAGATAAAACAGCTCTGTGAGCACTGATTCTTTAATATGGCTTGTTCTTGCTTATTTCTGCTTTGATTTCATCACTAGGTCCAAGTGTAAAAATCAATCGTAATAAAGAATCAGTGGGGCATTCATTGAGCTTCTTCGTCTACTAATCACAATTATTATTCAAATATAGTCAGATATACTCAAATGGCATTTTATTGTTAAATAACAAGAAATAATTAACTATCTATATTTCTCTTATGTTATATTTCATGTTACTCATTTCATTTTGAAAATCGTCACGTTTCCATTGTTCCTGTACTTTATTGTTTTTCACATTATACATGGAAATTTTAATGTCATCAATCGCGCTCACTACGTATTAGAATTTCGGATCCATATTCCTATTGTACGCACAAGGCTAAACACAGCTGGCCAAATCTCATTTCATGTTTACACTGGGCGCATTCAACGGAGACAACAGTTGAGTAGCAATTGAATACGATCGGTATATACTCTGAGATATTCAGCGAAGCGGGTTGCATTGCTGCTCAAGTGCTACTCAATTGTCGTCTCCGCTGAATGGGCCCATTGACTGCAATATTCATATAGAGCGACGTTGAAAACTATTGTGACGTACCTGTATCAATCGAGGGCTATTGTAAGAAGCGAATATACTCGCGTCCGGATCGACGCGAAAGAATTACAGGCGGAAGTGCATCCGCGCCAAGAGTGAAGACACTTCACGGAAACGTAAATTCATTTATCCGACGCTGCAATTTGCATCGGCCGCGGCGACACGTGCGTTAATATATATCTCGCGCCTTTATCGCATGAAAATACAGATATATATGTTTTCATGTTTACACGTATACTTTATCGTGCGGTATTCGTCATATCCTTTTACATCGTATCACATCTATTCATCCTATCACGCGCGACCGGGGAAGGCGAGGGGGAAGGCAACTTATTTTTTCATACCTTTTATCTCACTGATTGTTACTGCTTTTTATCGGTTACGTATTCTTGTGCTTTCTCCTCGTTTCCTATACAGCACAGATCGTTCCAACAATATTATAGCAACGTTGCAACGTTCCAGCGATATTTCAATAACATTGCAAATGTTATTGCAAGCTTCTTTGTTATATGGGTTAATTTACATGGTGAATAACGCCAGAACTACGAAAATTCATGAACACGGATTGTCGGTCTTATTTGATAAGTCAGTAAACTCGAGCTCGAACTAGAGAGCCGAGGAAAGTTAATGTTGCTCGGTTAAGCTGACGAAGCTAAAATAATGAAAATAATAAAAGCCAGTTGTCAGACATTAGCTTGCTTCTTTGGGAAAGCTGGAAATAGGAATAACTGTTATTGTCGAAGAAGGTTGTTTGTTTCATACAATGACGAACTCTCATCATGCGTGGTATGCGGATTCCGAAAATTTGCTTGGAATGCAAACTCCATCTCATAAGATTGCGCCAGATTTTGTCCCCGTCTGCCGGAGAATGTCGGTGACCGTTCGCTGAACGACTCGGATGAACGCGAATAAAGGGTCTCCACCCTAAGCTACTCGACGTATTTTTATTGGACGCGGCGTGGGATCTACAGATATTATAGCATGATTCGAGATTTTGCACACAGACACGTGGAATACAAACAGCGCAAGATGGACAATCTGAATATTACGGCGAGGCGAGTAAGGGTACTTTCCAATTGCTTAACACATCTTAACACAAACGTATAAGCGTAACATTGTGCACGATTCAATTAGAACAGAATGTGTACATTATGCACAGTTTCGGATAGAATTAGAATACTATTAATAATATTTTTAATACTTAAAATAAGTTATTAATTGGCCAGTACTAGTATTAAATTTTTATAATCATCATAATTAAAATAATAATTACTCTCTAACGGTTTAGTGAATCTACTTGAAATTTTTTTAGTATATTACAGATAACAAAGGAAAAGTTTCCCGAAGTTTCATCAATTTGGTACTATTTTTGGAATAGCTCAGATACATCCTTAAACGTAACTTTTTCCTCCTTTATTGAATGGAAAATAGCAAAATGCCTCCAAATACGTCCTCCAAATTTATTTATAGTCATCATGATTATTAACATGTAATTATCACTAGAAAACACTTATAGTAGCCCTCGGGCTGAGTACGGATGTGTAATGTTGTGTCGATGATTACGGTAATTTGAACCCAACTTGCCGTATGCATGAAAATGTCTGATAATTTTACAATTGGAAAGCACTCTATTGCTACGACGAAATTGAAATCGGGACACACATTAGAGCCGCGCGAGACGATGTTTTAACACGAGAATGTCTAGTACGTTTTATCGACACGGCCGGTCTAATTTCAGAACGTGCCCGAGAGGTCAATGGGCTACTTATTCTCGGGGCCGATACAAGAATTACCGGCGCGGCGTATCGATCTCCCCTGAATTTCTATCGTGCTGAAAACGATCCATCTCCCTTCGTGACGTAGCCGCGGGCACGTCCATCGGTATCGGGTTATAACTGACCAAAAGAAGGATTAGCGGGGAACATTCTTCCGTATCAATATTACACACGTAGGGGCTGCTCCCCTATAATTGCGCCAAGCCGTTGTTTGGAAATGAGTGTAGCACGCATTAATTTGCGCCGGGTGTGTTTTTTCTCATGATTTTGTGGAGGATAAGGCGGGATAAGCCGCAATAGTCGAAGAAGAAAACCGATATAACCGCTCGGTGTTTGTTTGCTTTGTACAAGCTATTTTAGCAGTTATTCGGAGACAATTGCCGAGCTTCATTAAAACAGGAAATAGCGATTTTCAAGCGCAAATTTCCAACATTTCGATAAAGTATTTTGGATCGATATTGTTTTTCGATGTCTTTCGATGTCGTCGCTACAAATAACACTTAGATGACTATGTTGTCTAACGACTCTGTTTCTTTTTTTATTGCAGATTCGAAGATGAATTGGCCACTGATGCTGACTTGTTTTTTGCTGCCACAGTCGTGCATTCTCGGTGCTTCGCGTGGTAAGTTATTTCATCGAAAATACTCTGTCAATAACTAAATCGATTATCAGAGATTACATAGCCACTCTGTGTAAGAGTGAGAAAATATGATATCAAAATATCGTACATGATTCTAGGCACGCTTTTTAATTTAACAATATTCCTTAAAAATTATTACATGAATCCTTTAGTTTGCTAATATTAATTTTTAATTATAAAATAGAATTTTTATACAAAGCTCATTTTACACAATATCTCTTTTTAGACAATGCATATTTTAAACCAAATTTACAATTTGCAACAGATTTATATATTGTATATAATTTCGTATTTTTAATACAGATATGTAAGGTTAACATATTATTCATATACCTATAGAAAAATGTTCTTTTTCCATTTTGAATAAAAACGTGATATAAAATAATCAAATATTGTAGTTAATAATAGATTTATTTATAGGTATTTAAAAATGATATAATAATCTAAAGTTTAAATTTAAAAATGATATAATAACCTAAAATTTAAATTTAAAAATAACTTGGAGAATGTGGAATTTAAATTTATTTTTTATACATTCATGAATTTTTATGAAAATCTAACGATAATTTTCAATAATTCGAAAAAATCATAACTCAATTTTTAAAATAGCATTTTTAAAAAAGAACTTTTAGAAAATCTCAAATAAAGTTAAAAATAATTTTTAATTCTACGTATAAATCTAAAAAGTGAAAACTTTTTTAAATTTTATATGGTCAATCTCAAAAGAGTTTTATTTAGAGCGAAGCATTGTCAGAGAAGAGCATTGACGAAGTTTAAAAGTAGAGTCTTTATAGGTTTTAAAATATCTTTTCGAAAATAATTCTGTGTTAATTTTTTTATAGTTATCTGTGTTTTATTACATGTTACTACTAATTAGGAGTCTTTTAATTTTATTCAGAAGTTTTTGAACGTTCCGATACAGTAACATATTGGAATGAAAAAAAAGTAATATTCATTAACATTAATATGAAAAACATACATTTATTTATATGTACGATAAAACCGAATACATTACATAATATAAGAATGTTTATGAGTCACTTTACGTGAATGCGACGAACAATACTATTACGGCTATTTGTTGCACGAGTGGACTACCGTTACTGCTTTCGCTGCTGTGCAACGAGCTGCAAAAGCCGGCCTCTAAAACCAGAAAAACCCCGAATTGGGTCATTCTTTTTTTTCTGTCACTGACGGCAAGCGGTAGTGGGGCCACAAGAGGCAGCCGGAAAATCCTTAATCCACCTCGGTCGCTCAGAATCTGGCGTGAACCTGTGCGAAAACAACGTCGAGGGGTGGATTATGATGATCGTGAAAACAACGTGCAAGGGTGCGTTCATGTTCCTCCGAATGGCCGGGTGGTTTCCCGGATGTATTGCACACCCAAGCGAGACTCATAATCGCGGCTCTTTTCTACCAGTTCTCCCCCAACTGTGCTCGGATAGACAAATTAGTCCTCTTTCACCCTTGCTCGAGCTGGGGCTAAGAGGCTTTTGTACAGCGGTTGTACTAGTGGAGCTTATTTCTCCCGCTAAACTCCCGCGCAGTTCGGTAACAGATCGTCTTATAATAGCAATGAAGGCACTCTGTTACGCATAGAAACACTCATACGTTATTTTCAAAATACGTGATCAGTTTACAAGGAGTTGCATTACTTCTATTGACGGTCATTTCTAACGTGATGGATAGTGAAATGTGTTTGTTATCCATCACGCGAACGAAATTTCCTCTCTCCTTTAATATGATCAACTTGACTCTTTCCTTTTAAATTAGAACGTAATTCTTTAATACGCAGGCACGATGCGCGGGTAGTTTTGAAACGGCGCGTGCAGCCGAATTCGTGCTGCGGTAAGCTCACTGTCCTATTTGAAAGTTGTCCAGCAGCGTTCAACTTGTGTTTGACCCTTTATCGAGGTAAATCTGCCCCAATCCAACGTACGAAGGAACGGACACAATCTCTTGAGTTCGCCGTAGCCAACAACCACGAACTTCGATTTCGAGTACACAAGAGACACCGGGTACGCGTCTCCCTAACGTCGATCCAGGTCAAAGTGTATTTTCTCGGTCGCGCTCTGACGATGGCAAACGAACCGCAGCGGTACGCGCGTCCGGAATTTGCCAAGGCGGACTTTCCCCCTTTTGACTTAATTGGCGGCTTTCTCACACCGGGGACCGTCTTTGACTTTCCTTTCAGCGAACCAAGAAGTCCGAAACTCGCCAATGGTCAGCGGCGCGAGACAATGTCGTAAAGACTCATGAAGTAACGAGCTGCGGTAACGTTCTGTGCCAGCGAACTATCGTTTCAAAGATATTAAAGACACAAGAGTGAGACACAAATGAAATATACTAACTTGCTTCGGGCGTTTTATCAATGCACTTTTAATCCATATGAATTGCTTAACTTTCTAGCTGAATGTAAATAATTCATATTTCTGTCAGTTTTATCGTTGATAGAGAAACATTAATAGTGCTGCGAGGTTTTATTTTTATCCTATAATATGACAAAAATATTATGCTTTTCTACAGCAATCATTCTACGTCAATTATTTGCAAGGAAATCAGGCATCCGTAGATTTATTGTGCGAATTTTTTTATTTCGATTTTCCAGTCTTTCATTCTCAGCCTTGAAATTCACTTAAACGTAAAACGCCAATAAATACTCGTCATTTGTTATTCGGCGCGTTAAATCACTTCTTTCGACTTCTTGAATTTGGTAACTAACTTAATTGGCGGCTTCGAGACGACCGCGGACCGTCTTTGTAGATTGAAGTGGCCACGGGACCACGACGCTTTAGAGAGTCGTGGACTAAGAAGCTCGAAACTTGTTAATGGCATGGGTGTTATGGGACAATGGCGTAAAGACCGTTGAGATTACGAGGGGACTGTAAGACTTTGTATTTGATGCAAACGGGACCAATTAAGTCGTTAAAGGAATAGTTTTTCTTCTTGAAGCAAATAATATCTTATTTAACAATTAAATGTTTGAATTTACACAGCGATCTATGCTTTCAAATTTCTAAAGCAATTTTAGAGTTTCCAAATTTGATTTTCGCTGTGAAAACGTAATATCTATCGTTAGTTTTTGAGCTTGGAAATATCAGGATTTGCGCTAATTAAGCGGCAGAAGTGTAAATGGGTAACTGCACTGCTCAATGGTAGATTTACGACTATTATTGGGCTTTGCACATATTCAGTAAATGACAGTGAAATACAATATGGCGGATCGTTCTGCTCAGTAGAGATATAATGCCTCAACGTTGGCAAAGCTATGTTCACTGGTCGCTGGCTAGTGGAAACAGTAAATCTAAACGCTTACATGGATACCGTGTTACCATGTACGAGGACCACGTTTATGCTAGCGAGTCGCTATTATTTCGAATATCAACGGCATTAAGCCGATGTAAACCGGAGGTAAATACGATCCGCACTCTCCGCAGTCAGCGAATAAAATCATTTGGCTACAGGTGTCATTTCCGACAACTTGCTTACCATTATTTGGTTTTGCTTAAAATTTTACATCATTTCGGGGTCATTGTAGTTTTGGGCACGAAGGGTTCTGTAGTATCCTTTAAATAAATGTCAGTGTTATTTTCGACGTAGGTACAAATCTCTTCAGTATAGGCTCTAAATTTGAATTAGTGACATTCAACTGAAAATGAAAGGTCGTTTGAGTATCATACAATTAATGATGATTTCCAGCAAGAGACGCAATGTAACATAGTGATCATTTCATCTTTATTTAACATTGACACACAACGAAGATACAATGATGTTTTACATTATGCCATCTGTGATTTTTGCTGGAAAACATCCTATATCGATATTTGCATGTCAGTTCTAATACCATATATTATATATTGAACTTATACATTAAAGCAAGATTAGCTAGGTTAGGGATTCCCGAAGAGGTTTAATTTTTTTTAAGTTGAATTTCACTATGAATTCACTGATTACCAGTAGTATACTTGGGAATCAGTGGATAATCACTAACGTCAAGTATCCATCTGATTCAGATTTAGAGAGTACAAAATAATTTCGTAAAATGTAGTAAAAAGTAATTTTTAAATAATATTTTAAATTTGATAGCATTGAAAATGGAATTTTTAATTTTCGTGCGTGTGACAACATCAATAATTTTGATTGCTACACAGATTGCGAGATTCACACGCGTGACAATAACGAATTAAGTCTCTTTCTCTCTCTCTCTCTCTCTCTCTCTCTCTCTCTCTCTTTTGACTCGTCATTTTATTCATATCACAACAATCTTGCTTTAAACTGCAACGCAAAAATTCGACAGATTTAGTTATAGCCTTGTAATTCCTTTGAACGCACGGAGAATATTTGCTTTGAAGTAATCTGCAGCGGAAAAGGGTACGCGCCCCCTGATATGAATAACCTTTTTCATCGGGATAGAAGAGAGTATAGGAGAGAGAGGGCGAGAGAGAGAGAGAGAGAGAGAGAGAGAGAGAGAGAGAGAGAGAGCGCGTAGAAAAGAGAGTTAATTTTACGACGAGAAAAATGCGCATTTACCGGCTGGTTGCGAGAAAGGGACGGGGCGAGTGCCCGAAGCGAAGCGCTGAAATTCGTTTCTTGTCCCTGGCGAGCGGTTTTGTACCTTTGTAATAAAACTGCATTTTTTCCCCATTTCCGCGTACAACACGCGCGCGTCGAAATTAACGTTACGCGGAGATGGGCATTACGCGGAGTTTCCGGTTAATGGACTGTAACGCTTATATCTGGCTGCTCTTGGTAATTTATCGGCGACATGATAAACGCGATAAACGTTGCCCGGCCATCGACACTGACGAATCGGCCGGCGTATACTTCACAACTTTATGCCGTGTCACATGTTTATGTGAACCGCCTGAAAATTCGATGATAGACGAAAATTATAGAAAAAAAAGGTATTTATTTTCTCAATGCGAGTATAAAGTCGAGTGTAAAATCGAGAATCACGAGGGAGAGAACGATGTCGATCCAAC